AAAATCTCTGCAGCCTTCAGTATTGATTTGACTTTTTGATTTTTATAAGCTGCAATAGCCATTTGAATTCGGTTTTCTTGAGATAAAGGCATTTTTGATAGTGGTGGTGATAAAATGACGCGTTGAAAAAAGGAAGTGGTAGGGTGGAGGAAAATTCGTCGCTCGGTGGTATTCGTCGCTCGGTGGTTGATTACGTTAAAGGTATGAACGGTGCAATCCGATGCAACATGGCAACCTGCATGAATAGATAGCGCCCGTTAGAGAACTTCGGCTAAATTCTTCCCAGGCAGAATCCAATCACTATTCTCAGCCCTAAGATGACACTGCTGTGGAGCACTCCGTATAGACTATAGAGTACTCCGTACTGTACCGAGTACTAATAATTAATCAGCTAGGTGGTCGCGACCTCCAAGTGGGTTTACCTGCTTTGCCATCTGTCAACCTGTGCCACTGTCGATCACTTCAGTTCTCATTATGGCCGAATCTCCCCTTCTGGTTGCCTCATTCAGATGCCACTGATCTGCGTTTTCGGCGTATGTTCGGGTGTACATGTAGCAAACGGCCGAAGTATGTGCGTCCTGTATGTACTGTACTGTATGTACATGATTAGCATCGAGTTATTACCTCTGTGAGATGTTGTACTGTATACAATCCTGCCTTGAAATGCCCCTACAGCAAGGCTGCGAAAAAGAAACAGGACTGTTATATCCACTGCCTTGTCTTTTCGCCTTGCTCTGCCTTATTCTAGAGCCCTTGATCTTTTTTAAGTTGAAACGTAGAATTTAAAGCTATTTCTCTCGTCAATTGGATGCTGGTACTAGGAAAGGCTGAAGCGCCATTGTCTGAGACAGTGATAAAAGGTACCAATAACAGGACGGTATCCGTCTGCTTGAACGAGGCGCTGCTGAACTTTGCCTGACGTACCTGCTTTATCCTATTTTGGATAATTCGCTAGATTAAAACTAGGGCTAGACATGGGAGTTACTCCGTAATATCTCTCCTTACAATTGCTCCTGGCAGGATTGACCCACTGGATCGCATGAAGAATCAAAAATCGCATGCTGTTCCTAACTGGGCCGGACTGGGCTTTATGTGCAGTGCATACGTATAGTCCAAGACTAAAGTAATATCTATATCCCCGCCCAGGGTGATGCTAATCCCTGTCCTTTGACATTAGCGAAACGGAGAAGAGACAAAGAGCAGTTCCGACGTTTCCATTCCACCGCAATCCCAGTTCTTAGCAGGAGATATAATGATGTCGAGGCTTTACAATCAGGCTGGATGAGACCGGTCATGCTGAAGGTAAAAGAGGAGAGTAATTATTAAGTGCCCTTGCTTCCTACCATCCGCACATACATATAGTAAAGGACCCGGTTCACAAGGCAACAAGTTTCTCTCCTGATGCTTACCTACGATAGGACGCCTGACAGGGCATAATGTCAGATGGATTATACCCTTGATAAGCTCTGGGATATTTCGGCAGCAACCAATAGCTGATAGATGCCCCATCCCCCCTGAGCAGCTGTGCTGATGCACGGGGTTTAGTCGCATGACACACATGATAACAATACATGAAACAAATTACGTACAGGGATTGTACTGTTGTATCGTCGTATTATACCATAGTCACAAGGTCTCCCATCCATCAGGATTTCCATCCTTGAGTGAGGGAGGGGGGCTGTCTTACCTGAAGACTGACTTGAATTGAACAAAGAATGAGATCCTAGGCTATATATAGTCCATGTAGTCTGATTTTATATTTATCATTTTATGCATGCAAGCTACCGATGTTGTCCATGCAGCTCGAATCGCTTATCTCGCTTCTTGACTCGGCTCGACTCGATTCGATTCGTACAAAAAACAACCGTTCAGGGGTCAGATACCGGCGTCTGTCTGTATTCTATACCCTGTACAGTACAGTACAATTATTACCGTCCGTACGTACCCGGATAAGCGTACGTACAGTACATAGATATGTACTCCGTACCTACTCCGTAGATTGACGAAAGACAGAGAGGAAATATTTTCCCGACACAATCAATTCGATCAACTCGCTGTTTGTTTTAACTAGAAAACAAGATCTTCTGGAAAGGTTCTAGAAGGATTCTAGAAATCTTCCTTTTTAGGCATATATATATGAGACGAAATATCTTAATATGAGGTGTCTCACAAGGTACTGTACAGATTATCCAAAGCTACTATATATGTACTACTCCGTATGTACTACATTGCACTGCGCTGTAGATCCGGGGTACTGTACAGTGACACAAACACACAGCTATCTAGCCTTCAGGTCAGTTTCATGAGATTTTATTTTTTTTTCTGTCCTCCCTGCTGTGAGACGTACAACAAAGGGTGAAACATGCTGTTTTGTATCGCTTCAACTGTGAAACAATGAGACAGACAGATATGGAAGGGAGGGTTTCATCTACAGTAGCCTAATACAGATATGATATATACGGAGTATGTAGAAAGCTTAACAGGGGTTCAACCGATTGGATGGAATTCGAATTGCAGGCACGGCGAAAAGGGGGCATTGTCGTGGTCAGTAGGAATTAAATAAATTTTATTTACTCACTTATTTGTTTGTTTTATTTTATTTTGCTTCTTATAGATTGTTGCTTTCACGACGAAACTGAGATCACGTGTGTATGCGTTTGGCAGTCGTCTGGCAGTCCGTTCTACAGTACAGTTTATTCAAAGCAGGAAACAGTTTTTTTCTTTTTTTTTTTCTTCTTGGATAATCTACGGAGTAGCTATGTATACAGGAAAAACGAACGAAAGAAAAAAAATTATGGCGACGAAAGGTGTTTCACATCCACACTCTTTAGACGAATGAGCTACAGCTTCAGAATGAAGCGAAACACCAACCAATCAAACATTCAATATCATTGATTGCCACTGAGCTTCCTGGACTGGAAAAAAAATGACGTCGATATGTCCAGACTAGTGTGATAAGAGTCTCAGCATGTGTGAGGCGAAAGACTGAGTGGATTCGTTCTCGTTTCCTGATATTATTAGTAGCTAGAAGCATAGCATGACGGTCATTACCTAGATAGGACTCCTTTGCGAATGCAGTCAGTTCAGCAGACACGTCAACACCCGGCGGTGCACATGTACGGAGAACGAGCGGAGTTTTGGACTCAGTTTCGACCAATATAGATAATCTGAGGCCTTGCCTGGGCGAGAGCCCTCGACGTAAAATTTGCCACTCTATTTTCGTTTGCCGTCCGTCGGGCACTGAACTGACTCGGGGTTATTATTGCCTGATTCATGTCCAGAAACGAGCTAGTGCATGTCAGTCTGCCGGGGAAGAATGCTTCCATATCTCGAAATCTTAACAGGGTGATCCTTGGAGCGCCTAACCAGACTGTCTCTCTCAAAACGATTTTGTGTGTGACGCTATTTGTCGCCGAGCCTAGGCAGCCAGACCGTCTTTGAGACTATTTAAATCCTACGGAGATCTGACAGGCTCCTTGGCGTCTTTTCACAGCATTCCCGGGATTGAAAGAGGGGCCATTTTGCCCGGAGATCTCCATCTGACCGGCTGCCTTCAGCAGGCTGCTCTGAGTCTGGTGTCGTTCAGCATGACTGCTGCAGCCTGCATGACCCCAACTTGCGGCGGGATCCTAATTTTTTTGCCCACAGTGGGACAAGTCGGTCTCCGACACAGCAATGGATTGATTCTTGAAGTCGCAACCAGTGCTCTAGCCAGCCTTACCCAGGCAAACAGAAGCATCTTGCAGAGTATTTCGGAACAGAAAAATGCGACAATGCTGGTACAAGGCGAGAGTCCTGGAGGGCATATCCAGATTTTTCATGCTTTTCGAGCCGATGAAGGCAATAAGCGGTCTGCACGAAACAAGCTTGGTAAATAAAGCACTGACCTTGAAGCGGTGTGGGTTTGCTCGTGCACAAACGCTTCTTTTGAACCATGTCGATGGTTCGTTCGAACGGTATGATCAGGAGATCACCCGCAGTCTCCGCATTCTCGATCCCATCAGCAAGAAAGACCTCTTGTAGTGGTGTCTCTGACGATGATGCAATATCAGCAGGATTGCATTTGCAAAGTGCTGTTGACTTTGTACGCAGTACTGTACAGCTGACGAAGACAGCAGTAAAAAACCAACCATAATTTGGATGGAGGTGTAGAGTATTTAAGGATGAGAATGGCATGACTTTATAGAAGGAAAAAAACATGAAGTCAGCCGAGATCAAAGGAAATCAATACGGAGTATGCTTGTCTGGGGCCAGGTATCGATGTCTCAATTACAAGTAATTGAATTACACGGGTACACTCTGACGATCCGAGATTCAAGGCTGTCGTTGTGGGGGGTGTTAACAGGGCACGCCACTAAAAAATCACTGTGCTTCATAGCCTTGCGTTGGCGAAGATAGTCGCTGCCTTCACTTAAGAGCCGCACCGTGGTCCGCCACCTGCTGAGGATGGAATATAAATTGGTTGCAATGGCGGATTGGCAAGCATGCCACATCCGATCAAAGAAGCCCGACTAGGTGGCGAAACCCCGCGGGAGGCATTCCGAACCAGCAACTGGCGTGAATGGAATGTGTGCATGCAGGACTTGTCTTGTAAGCGATTCGACTCTCTTTTTTGCGTGTCACCTGACACCATGTGCTGACCCGCGGATCCAGGCCGATACAGCGCTTCGTGACGATGAGCGACCGCAGCAGCAACCGACCGCTCTCCTCGCGACGACGGCGTATAAAAAGCGGCACACGCGCCCCCGCGTCGCCGGCGGCCAGTGCCGGCTCCGGGTCAATGACGAGCGACAGCAGCGGGCACCAGAGTCATCCCAGCTCTCATCATCATCATCATACTGACAGTAAGCATGAACCTGCAAATGTGAATAACCCAATGTGAGCGCTGACTCCTTCACCCCCCCTCCTGCGGTGTGTGCGTCTGTCTAACCGTCGAGCATTACTCAGCAGCGGTTTCCCGGCCATTGAACGATCCCCCTCCGAGTCATCGGTCCTGAATCATGCTGGAGCCGTTGCCCCTGCTCAAAGACCGCGCTCTGCGGGAGCTGCTTCTCCCGATGCGCCGCGTCTCGAAAGCCTCAACCTGCACGGGAGAGGCGGTCTGCGGGCTGAGAAGACCGGAAGAGTATCCCCCAGCGGGAGTGTGCAGCGGCACCGCATCAGCCGTGAACGCCGAAAGAAATCCCCCAGCACGCTAGACCGGCGCAATAGTGACCCCCGCCAGGACTTGCGCAAATCTTCTGCGGGCGTTTTCCCTAAATCCGCACCAGCGCTGGGCGACAATTTCAAGTCGCCTGCTGCCATTGCCACCATGGAGCCGTCGCAGGAATCGAATCGAGCCCCTGAGAACACCGCGAACCCGGCCGACGTCGTGCCCACCGGCATGTGTCTGCAGCCCGAAACCCACCCGATCACCGAGGAGCAGCTCGTGAACGAGGTCCGTGGCATCTACGCTGGCTTGGTGATGGTGGAGAAGAAATGCATCGAGATCGATCGCCAGCAGTCGGAGAGCAAAGAGGAGTTGACCAATGCCCAATGGCAAGCGCTGATTGCCCTGCATCGAACATTGCTCCACGAGCATCATGACTTCTTCCTCGCCTCGAATCCACCCTGCCGCCAGCACCATGCTCAGGAA